TTAAGAGAATATCTACTTGATTTATTTTCCCCTTGTTTGTTAGCATAGAAGTTAAGAGCTCAGACTTGAGCAATACTGTTTGGTTTGAATCCTGGCCCAGCCACCTAGGAGCTGTGTGACATTGGGCAAGTTATTGACCTCTCTGGGCCTCATTCCTTCATAACTATAAAATAAGAACAGTACCTACGTCATTAGGTTAAAAAGGTTAATATTTGTAAAAGACTTAGAACAATGCCTAGCATGTAGCAATTGTTTTATCTTTGTTGAATAAATAAATTACATTTCAAACTTTAAAGAACTTTCATTATATGTATAAAATAAACACTTCTATTTGCCTTTTAAACATGACACTCATCTTTTTATTTATAATATTTTTAGCTACCTTTTCATTTGAAAACAAACTAGTTCCCTAAATCTGAGTTAAACTTAAAAATGGTGCCACCTCAAGACCTGCCCCACAGCAGACATAAACTGTTAAGTAAATTGCACACTTGTGTTATCTTTCCACCTAAAAAGCATCCCTTTACATTCGTTGATGCAAAATCCAGAATGTCCTTATCCACACACCCATGGATTACGCTAAAGCAACCCCCGTCCATAGAAAGACTCCTCCAAGTAAGACATGTGAGAACATGGCCTCTTTTCTCCCTCCTCAGTGACCAACTACCAAAGATTTCATTGCTGGCCTTTGTCCTGACTTTATCAACATGACTCACTCTGAAAAGTATAAATGTGGACATGCTTTTATATGAGTTTCCATATTAGAAAAGTCGGCTCAATTAACACAAAACGCCATTTCAGTCACATGCTTTTTTCTTCCTTAGAAGTGATCAAGAAGAAATGTAGAAAACACTTCTTTCTTTCTCTTTTTGTGTAGAAACTACTAACATTTCAATAAATTGACTTTTGCTGAACACGAGCATAGTAAAGTGATTTTTTTAATTGAAAGTGAAGATTTCCTTTGTATCAACATATAAGGATTATTTAGCTGATTCCAAGAAGATGAATAAACCTGTGATCATAATGACTGAATTACTGGGCAAGAAAAATAATGTTACACAAAGACCAGAAAACAGAGTGGGACAGAAAGGTCTGTAATGGTTTGGCTGCTAAAGGACATTTTTACGCACATGCCAGCACTAAGTGCTCTTCGCAATGAATAAACCATATGTCCATTTTTCTATGCTTCCTTTCACTAAGATCCTGCGACTTCACAATATTCCCTTTGTCCCAGTCCCTGCCTCATCTCCCCCCTCCCTCGGTTCCCCCATCCCCAACTTCACCTCCTTGGGCAAACAGTATTTGTGCCCTAGCTACCAACTTGAACATCTGCTACCTTAAAAAAAAAAAAAAAAAAAAATCACCTCACTGCCTAACATCCTCCAGGGCAAAAAGTTTGAAGGATTCAGCATCCTCAAAAGAACAGCCACAGAAGGAGAAAAAAAAAAAGAAAAAAAAGGCCTATCTTTTCCAGCTCAGTAAATTCTGTCTATATAAAGATTAAATGAATAACATTTTAAAAATTCTTCAGTGCAAGCAAATCCATGTTACCAAGAATGTATTGTCTTTCTTATGCATAGAGGGAGACCCACACATTTTATTTTATTTCATTTTTGCAACTGTGTCTCCTTTTCAACATATTACCATATAGAAGAGATAGAGCATATATATGACTCTAGAAAAAAGAATGCCAATATTTTCCCTCTTTTTACCCGATGGTTTTCTCATCTTCTTTTTCTTCTTCTTTTTTTTTTTTTTCCTGTCCCCAAACACTGCCCCAATTGAAAGATAAAGAAATATTTCCACTGAATTAAAGTGAACCCGGTGTTAAGATAACTTGCCTGGATCCAACCAGAGCCCATTTTTTTAAACTCCATTTCAACATTTGGTGGGCAGCCCTGCCCCATCACTCACTTATATTAGCCACTCCTGCAACCAGAATTCCCATCGCCATACACCTTTGCCCTCAAGCTTTTACTAGTCCATTGCCTTTATATGTTTACACTTAATTTGATTCCACCCTTCATGCTTTTTTCATTATTCTTAGTTCATCCACACCACATAAATTATCACCTTTGTTTTCAGTTCCCCATGTGCCCCATTCACACCAATTCCAAATAAATACTTCTGATTCTCATCCATTTAATCCAAATTAATTCATATTCCCTCTCCCCATCCTCCATCCTCACCTCTAGCTCCCCTCCTGTTTCTCTTTCTTATAGCACCAAATTTTCCTTCCATGCTTATCTCTGAGCAAGGTTTTACAGGCAAAATGCTTCTGGAGGATGCAAGGTGATTGCTTTCTGTATTGTCTTAGGAAAGCCAAGCTCTACAGCGCTGCCACCTTCAATAAGCCAATGCCTGCACGTCCAGATGCGCTCCCTACAACCCGTGTCCCTGAGCATCATAACCCCCACAAAGAGTGAGGGAAAAGCTTCTCGCTTTTTGACGGTATTTAACTTTGCCTTATTTCTAGCTTACATAGAGCTGTTTTTTCACACAATCGTCATTAATCAATATCAGTATCTGTTGTAATAACTACAAACCAACTCCACTACTATCTTCGATGAGCTCTTACAATCTGCCAAGTATTTTACATATATTGATTCATTTAGTCTTCAAAACAGTCTAGGATATAGATAAAATTATCCCTATATTTTACAAATGACTAAGCTGAGACTCAGGGAAGATAAATCACTTAACCAGGTCACAAATCTAAGAAAGAGTAGAGCCAGAACTCAGACCCAAGTCCACCTACTACAAAGCCCCCACTCTCAACCACTTTGCAACACTGCCTTTCAATACTGCAGGGCGCCTCCTTGAGTAAATTCCCCATGGGGAGGAGTCTTTCCACATCAGTCCACCATAAGGCAAGTGGTTGCAGGTGCTGGGGAACATAGTGAGCTCCACCTTGAAAATCACTCTGAGTAGACCGTGCCCAAAAAACAAAGCACCAAATAAGGCATCACTCCTAAAGAGGTCTCCTTCTGACACATCTGTTGGGAGAAGGGGATAGGAAAAAGAAGAAAAATGCTCTGGACTCCCCCTTAAAAAAAAAAGAATCTTGCTTCCCCAGAGCTGTCCAGTCTTCCTACTAGACAGGATGTAGCCTGTCTTCATGTCAGTAATTCAGAAATGTGTCCATAATCATGCCTTCCACGCCCCCAACAAAGCTCAACATTCTTGCTCCATTCCGCTTTCTCTGGTTTCCTGGGGAGAACGGGAAGTGAGTCACCATCAAAGCCTGGGAGCACTGCAATGTCTTGTCATGACTTTACTCATTGACTTGAGAAAGAAAGAAATATAAATAAAAAATGACCTTCAGGACAATATCAGAAAGGAAAAAAACAAAAGCTGACTTGAGCAGGAACTGTTAGCCTTGGTGTCTGTGGGGTGGGGCACTCAGACTCTTGGGAAACCCTCACTGGGACTCTGCACTTGAGCCACAGGGTTCAAAAGTCATGTTAGGAGACCTTCCCATGAACCAAGCAAGAGCTACATAGGAAGTTAAGTGCAGAACTGGAGTACCTGCCTAAGTCCTGTGTAGCAGGAAAGCAGTGTGTTCTCGTCCTCCCATGCATGGGACTGACTCTGAGGTTCAAAATGGTGATTTTGTCTAGACACATATTACACATCTTATTTAGGAAAGTGCTTCTGTATCACACAAAGTATTTCATGCTCCCACACCACGGAGCATTAGAGCTGAAAGGGACCTTAAGTCAGTCTGTTTGACGGATATGGAAAATGAGGCCCAGTAAGGTAAAGGGACACTCTCAAGGTCACAGAGCTAGTCAGTGGCAGAGTTAGAACCAGAACCCGGGTTTTTCTGATTTTCCAGCCAATGAGTTTTGCACTGCACACTTCCTTGGTTAGTCCAGACAGAAACTCATCACAGAGCACCAGGAAGATGAGCCTCAAGACCAAAACCAACTCCCACCAGCCACTTCTCCTGGCTCAAATCCAATCACCCATTTCTCCCGGACTGCACTCCTACTCTGCTGCTTATACTTTCAGAGTTTTCCCTAATTCAGCTGTACTGTGCAAGCAGTATGCAAAACCGTTCAGGCGACACAGCCAGGACTCATTTAAAAACCACCAATGACAGTAATTGCTCCTAGGATGCTAACACCAAGAAGAAACACCAGCCCTAAGCTTGTACCTCAAAGCACAGAACAAAGACCAGTTTCAAGGAAAATGCCAATCTCACTCTTTTCTCTATAAACGCCACTCTTCCAAATAATCCCATTGCTCCAAAGATCAATATGATTCCTGGGAATCACCGCAGAAGTCTTGAGTAAAATATACAGTCCCCGTCGGTTACCACTCGCCCTTCCCACACACATAGCAATGTAATCACTTTAGCAACTTCTCAGTAACAAGCTCATTAAAAAGCAATTCTGCCGTCTCTCCATAAAGCACGTGCCAGAGAACAATGCAAAAGAGGAGATGCCAATTAATTATAGAATGATCACATCTAATGAACTCTGAAACCCTCCTGCTGTTGGTGACTTTGATGAAAAATCAGGGATGCTGGGAAAAGAGTGAAGAGGGACACCCCGACTACCTTGTTTAACTGTGAGTTCTTTCAAACGTGCCTCCTCGGATTCCAGTGTTGCTCAAAACCGCAGAGCTACACTCGGAAAACAATGAAAAGTGTCAGGGCGGTGACAAGCGCGTGTACCGTGTACGGCTGTGAGTCACACTACCAGAGGCCCATTCAGACCTCCTTGGAACTGTGTGATTCTAGCCTGTGGCTGGCCCTGCCTCCGAAAGGATCGCACAGCCAGCGAGCGACAAGCCCACGGCCTGTGCCGAGGACATCCGCAGAGCTCAAGGTCACACGTGCGGCACTCTGCTGCCCCGCCCCGGCCCTCCCGTCGGGCTGCCACCTCCGAATCAGCACGATGCCACTCCTGGGGACACGGGAGCCCTGCCCACCGCGAGCCTAAGGGAGGAAGGAGAAGAAGAAGAAACCACGTGCGGCCAACTTGTACCACTACCTGTGTGAGTCCTCTGGTGGGCCTTTAGGTGGGAGCTTTTTGTATAAACTTTCCGGCACCCGTTAAACTGACAGCGGTGAACCCTCTTCTTGTTTTCGGGGCATGCCTCGGCCCCCACCCCTCCTTGCTCACTGTCGCTCTGTCCGCTCTTAACTGTCCCAGCTGCCGCCACGGCCGCCGCTGCCGTGGCCACCCCTCCCACCTTGACCGAGCCGAGTGCAGCCTTCTTGGCCACCAGTTTCAACGTCACCGTGCCATCCACGGCTGAGAGAGTCTGTGAGGTTTTGACCAGATGGCGGCTGAGCTCAGGGGACGATGGGGGCGTTAATGAGGTCACTGCGTTGAGCTGGGCCTGGTTGACGGCTGTGTAGCTGTCTAGAGAAGAGCTGGTTGGCTGGAGGCTGAGGCAGGTCTCAGATAGCAACTTGTCCCGAGAGAGAAGAATGTCCACTGCCGAGCTCTTCTCGCAGATGGTGGCTTCCACAGGGAGCAGCAGCGGGTCCAAGCGCCGGAAGCTCTCCTCAATGCACGGGGGAGGAGAAGCATGGAGGAAACAGTCCAAGTCCTCACCGAAGGTCTCCGAGATCCTCCTAGGCTCCGTCTGTAGGTAGCGTTCCAATTCAAGGCATGTCTGCAGAAGGGAAGAAGGGAGGGAGAGAAACAGCCATCAGAGGCAAAGAACACCATGAGTCCACATGTCGACAGGCAGAACAGGAAGAGACACACGGAATGGTTTTGTGGCTAGAATCTGAAATTCTCTTGGTAAAAGGTCTGACCCTGTTATTTAGTCCCTGAATACTTCTGAAGGGCTCATAAGGGTCACATCATGCAAGTTTAATGAAGTGGAACTAGAGGCCCAGAAGGGCTATCTCACACCATTAAGATCCCAGAGAACACTCCACAGTAAAATGGTCTCCTGCCCCACAATCCAAGTCAGCAGGTGAGATGCTCCAAGCATTGCTAGGAGTTCCCATGTAAGCAAGAAGTAAATAGAATCAGACAAAGTTTTCATACCGAAACAAGATTTCCCATAGTCCGATTTCATTTTTCAAATAGACTTGAGCAAGTTGCAAAAATCAGTCAATTTTCTGACTTGCTCGGAAGAACAAACCATGCCCGCCAACTACAAGGTGACCTCAGCCACAATCAGCCAACAGCAAGCCCTGCCTTGGATTCCCTAACCAGCGGGAATGGATACTGTTCTGAAGAATGCCTCTCACAAAACCTTTGCTATACAAGACAAAACTCCCCTTGTTTACAGCAAGTTATTCAAAATACAATTGCTACCTATTTTGTGGCAAGGGGCATAAGTCTGATTACAATGGTTTAGCATCTCTGTGTGATAAAAATAAGTTCAAACACAGCTATTTGACTTGCTAAAGATAGGACCCAATATATTTCAACATAAAGCTTTCACCTGGTAAAGAAATAGAGAAAAAGAATGGAAAAGTTCAGAGCTGCAACACATCTTCATCCATGGTGCTCTTTGTAACATGTTGGAAACGCTCTTATGGCAAAAGTGGATATTTAAGTTTATACTCAAAAAGCTTTCCTCACTTAAGAATCCTACTTTTCCAGAATCTTGTGTAAAACCATGGTGCTAACTTGCACCATCAGCTCAATTTGCTCTGGCTTCTGGGCTTCAACAAAGAAACACTGATGGCAAATTTAAGATGTGACTAGCTCCTAATTCACTGCCTCCCTAGTAAAGCATTTTATATTTCAACCAATGTTTGGATCCTAGGCTTTTATTCTGTTAAGAATATATTTTAATGATATACCTCATTGTGTTGTATCTGTTAAGGATTTTAGTTTGGTGACATTTCAAAAGATTGTTTTTGTTTCTCTTTCTTATTCCATTTATTCTCCCATAAATTTCTCTATTAGGAGATGCACTGTCGATAGGATTTACATTTTCCCAGATACAGAATCATAGAACCATGGAGTTTCAGAGATGTTTGTCTAGATTTTATGTACATTGTGCTTCTCTAACATGTTCATATGTCAGCATTTTACCTGTTTTTCTTAGACTGCATGTGATAGCCATTCCATGCTCACTATTTTGACAAGGTTCTAGCTGCCTACCAGGGTTAGCACTTAACCTCTATATCAGAATCCACCAATGGTCACTGCCTTTGGTATTCTCGGCCAGCCTGCCCTTCATGGCTGCCAAACCCCATCTGTATCCTTATGATACCAAGGGCCCAACTCCTCCTACCTTGCTTGTCTCACTCTACTCCTGCTCTCTGAATAACTCAAACGCTACCTGCAAAGTTTTCTTTCCTATTTGCCAAAGTATTCAACACCACCTTATATACTTGGACCTTCAAAATCTTTAAATTATTTATATTCTCCCACTGGTTATATATTTGTCTTGTGTCTTCTGTTTATTTTTTGTTATTATTTTTATTGAGGTATAATTGACATACAACATTATATTCATTTCAAGCATACAACATGATTCCATATTTGTATACACTGCAAAAGGATCACCACAGTAAGTCTAGCTACCAGAAGATTGGTTTTTAATCAGTCTTATGGTAAAACTCTACACTCATGAATAAGAAAACCAGATTTTTAACTATGAATCAACTTTTGGTTTCACTTTTGACTTTTAATAGCATAAACTAATGAATTATTCTAATCTTCATTCAACATTCATATCACATGTTTTTGTTCAACTACTGTGTTCACAGCAAGGTGCAAGGTTTTCTGTGTGTTGGAAGAAGATATTAATAGATCCATGTGATGTAGGTGCAGGATAAATAATTACAAGCTAAAAATGACATGAATTTACAAAGCAAAGTGATACCAAATAACATACAATAAAGTGTGTTTATAAGTTCTTAGGGAATGAGCAGACAATGAAGTCTACACTCTATAATATGAAGGCATTCATCAAGGGAAGCTTATTGGAAAAGTCAGTTTTGATTCTATTTTATGTATTGATTAAATAATAGCTCTGGCTGAGTAGCTTCCCACCATTTTATGTTTGAAACCAACACTACCACCTTCTCAGGTCAGAAATTTACATTATCTTCAGTTGCCCCTTTCTGAATTCCTTGTCTCAAAAATTTTCCCTTTCCTTTTTCCATCGCATTGCTAGAAATTGTCATTTACTTCTCTCCGATATTGAAACCCTCAGGCTTAGCTCCAGTCACTTCACTTCTGAATTATGAGATCCTACTCCTAAAACCTCCCTTAAAGCTCCCCTTCCCTTCTAAAACCCTCACCTACCAAGCACAGTGCCTGGCACCCACCAGGTACATAATGTCTATCAAACAAAGACAAAATCAACTTTATACTACTACTTTGATTATTTTAACTCCTCCATTCCACAAAAGCCATCTCCTGACCCCTTATCCTGGATGATGCTGAGGCTAGCAATCTTAGAAATGACCACTAATACATGTCTTCTGGAACACAACTATAATCCTTCTTTAGCTTTGGCCCAAAGGGCAGAACCAGATCTTTGAAACACGGATATGTTTCAGATAAAAAACAGCTGAATCATAGGTTATAAGTTGTCCTTGAGGCAGTTCCCTGCCTCACGCGCAAAGATTATTTCAAACCTAGTCACCGCTGTCTTTTAACAGAGTTTTTGTATGTCATGTCTTCTTATATACTTTCTTGCTCAAAGATTTGAAAGCCACTGAGAAATTGTTGTGATTGTTAGGAAGCTCAGGTCTCTTCATATTCAGAGTTCTAGGAAACAGAGAGATTCTAAACACATTTATATACTTTTCTGGGAAGGTTAAAAAATAGCCTACCCAGTATGCCCTAGTTTAAATCCCAGGAGCACACAGGTCAGACTAATGATCTAAAGATAGAGACACATCTACTAAAATGCTGGACCACTTAAGAGCAGCTACCACTTGCAACCCTAATACAGGGCATTCTTATTCCATCTGAGAATTAGAGAGGCATGAGTACCCATCAGAATGTGCTGGATAGCCCTATGAAATCATTTTGGAATGGTTTTTGTCTTGAGAAATCCACTTCTTGTAGTATTCTACTTAGAGAAGAGATTTTGTGAATCAGAAACTCATCAGGAGTGCTGGAAATTAAAATGTCAAGAATGAAGAGAATTTTAATGTTAGATTATTTCTAAGCCAAAGAGAAAGCTTATCTCCAATGTTTTTCTTTAATGATTACAAGGACTCCCTTAAGAAATGCCTATGATGTTTAATTAAAATTTGAGGTATTTACTCATAGATATTAATACATACACACAGAGAAGTATATACAGAAATAAATGTGTATATGTGTCATGAGTATACATATATTTCCTAGCTCTGTCTTTAGGGAGAGTCTACAAGAAAGACACCCCAATAGCACTGAGCACATCTAGTATATAGATCATGGTTTCTAAATATCATTATCCAATAAAGGGAAACCAGGGCACCTTGGAGAAATAGTTGATTCAAAGTCTGGGGCAAAGAAAATAAAAGATGAGTCTAGAATATCTTGTGGTACTAGAAGGTAAGAAGTGTTCATAAAGTGATAGAGCTATGTCAAAAAAACCTCAGGGGCAATTTGAAGGAGCTTTTAATGACCAAATCTGGATAATATGAGCAACAGAAATGAATAGTGATGATGGATTTTAATACATGGAATAAAATTAATATCTATAAATCCATAGTGATATAAATAAATAGTTGAATCAATAAACAAATGGAGAGGGTTAGCTTCTCCTTACAGTAAAATTATAATTAATAAGCATAGAAGGGATGATGGAAATAGAAAATCACCATTAGGCAAACAAAAAAGTAATAATGACATTGACAAGAATCACCAGTGGATGCTAAAATTAGTACATGAAAGTATAATGAAAAACAAGATATTTGCCTAGTCTCAAAGTATCCCTCTCAATAAGATATTAGTTAACTACAAAGACAAAAACAATAATTTTATAGTGGCGAATCCTAGCATGCACCACTTTAAATATATGATCAAAGTTAGCAGTACCCATAATAAGACATAACTGATATCATGTACCCTGGTATGAAGGCTGAAAAGGGCACAAAATTATTCTACACCAGTCCTGCCCAAAATACATAACCTCAATGTAATCATGAGAAAACACCAGAACAATCCAAATGGAGAGCCATTCTACAAAATAACTGGCTAGTATTCTTTAAAAATATCAAGATCATGGGGGCGCCTGGGTGGTGCAGTCAATTAAGCATCTCACTCTTGGTTTCAGCTCAAGTCGTGATCTCAGGGTCATGAGATCGAGCCCTGCGTTGGGCTCCAATGCTCAGTGTGGAGTCTGCTTGAGATTCTCTCTCCTTCTCCCTCTGCCCCTCTACTTGTGCACTCTCTCTCTAAAAATAAATAAATCTTTTAAAAATATATCAAGATCAGGAAGAACAAAGGAGACTGAGGAGCTGTCCCAGATCAGAAGAGACTAAGGAGATATGATAATTAAATGCAATGGATTTTGAAGAGAAAAAAGACATTGATGGGAAAAATAATTTAATTCAAATAAAGTGTACAGATTAGTTAATGGCACTGTATCAATATTAATTTCCTGGTTCTGATCATTGTACTATGGTCACGTAATGTTAGGGGAAACTGGGCAAAGTGTATACAGGAACTCTATCTACAATTTTTGCAACTTTTCTGTAA